GGGGACATGGGGACACCATGGGGACACCATGGGGACATGGGGACAGGGACATGGGGACATGGGGACACCATGGGGACAGGGACAGGTGAAAGGAGAGGGAGAAGGGAGAGGGAAAGGGACTGGGAGAGGCTGGGGGGAGAGGGAAGTGCCCTGATGTCCCCAATGTCCCCCCAATGTTCCCCCAATGTCCCCGATGTCCCCAATGTCCCCGATGTCCCCGATGTCCCCGATGTCCCCAGTGATGTCCCCGATGTCCCCAGGCAGTGGCTCGGAGCCCAGCTGGCAGTGTGTGTGCACCCTGTCCGGGTACCACGGGCGCAGCATCTACGACGTGGCCTGGTGAGCTCTGGGGACACCGCGGTGACACCGGGGTGACAGGGGGACACGGGGGACACTGGGGACACTGGAGTGACAGCAGGACATTGGGGTGACAGGGGGACACTGGGGACACTGGGGTGACACTGGGGTGACACTGGGGTGACACCGGGGTGACGGGGACACTGGGGACAGTGGGGACATGGGGACACCACAACACCTCACTGGGGACACTGGGGTGACACTGGGGTGACACTGGGGTGACACCGGGGTGACAGGGGGACACTGGGGACAGTGGGGACATGGGGACACCACAACACCTCACTGGGGACACTGGGGTGACACTGGGGACATCAGGGTGACATCAGGGTGGCAGGGGGACATTGGGGACACTGGGGACACGGGGGACACTGGGGACATCGGGGATGTCAGGGACATTTGGGACACTGGGGACACCAAGGACACCTCATTGGGGACACTGGGGACACCTCACTGGCGCCCTGTGACCCTCCAGGTGCCACCTCCCCCGGGGTCCTGTCCCCACCCCCTGTACCCACCCTGGGGTCCTGTCCCCTCCCAGTGTCCCCTCCCTGGTCACCCCTGTCCCCTCTCAGTGTCCCCTCCGTGTCCCCACTCCTGTCCCCTCCCCCTGTCCCCTCCCTGGTCACTCCTGTCCCCACCCCTGTCCCCTCCTTGGTCACTCCTGTCCCCTCCTGGTGTCCCCTCTGTGTCCCCACCCCTGTCCCCACCCCCTGTCCCCTCCCTGGTCACTCCTGTCCCCTCCCTGGTCACC